TAAATATGTATTAGCAAGGGGTTCAACAGAGAATGAGTAGCAGTGTTCTCTGGGTAGTATGATAGTTCATATTAATATATACTATTTCCGAAAAACTGATGCAGTTTGAGACTGTGAGATCTTATACACAATCTATATAAAGAGGTATAACATGAACCTGTACACAGAGCGAAGTGTGCTGAAGGCTGCTGAGTTGAATAACTTTTAGCGCTATCTTTATAATTGTATCACTCTTCCTTTATTGCTTAAATGGGAGGACAAATTCACGGGCCATCTGGTTTTAAATGGTTACAGGGGCCCATGCACGTGAACAACGTAAATGCTGCTCCCCACATTGAGACATGTGCTTAAGTCTCAGTTTTACAGTACAACGACTGCTTTACTCTTCAAACCGAAACGCATTACTGCTTCACAGCGGAAAAAGGTCGGAGTGTTGGTGCCTACCCGAGAGGGCTTCACAAGATACCTGACCATCATAATAAATTACGATGACACCACCCTAATTAGTCGCTTTACTGGAATCTTCAACACACTGAAAGTCCTCCCTCCATAAGATTCATTCGCGAAGCAACTGCTCTTGAGTTGTTAGGTCTTCTTCGGAGGTGCTCGGGCAGCTGTTAGCAAATCCCCCCCTCCTGGCTGAGGCTTTGCTCGCCCACATGTCCTGGTGAAAATGGAAAGGCCTCAGGGCCAAAATAATTACGTAACGCATAGTTGGATAATACGTACATATACCAAATTTTATTTAAGTAAAAGTATACTATGGTGAATTTCGATACAAGCTGTCATAGTGCTACTTAGCTCAAAACTATAAGCTATGCCAAATTTGTGCGCGAGTTAAATTAATTAATTATGATCTTCCTGGGAGCACTGGAAGTTAAAGTTGCGCAGTGTACCGCGTTATCTCACGGACTTATTAATCACATTACTAATTACGTAAAAGCTTGACGTTGTAATGGGCAAATTTGTTTATAATATAGTTATCCAGGCATCTTAGGGAGTGTTTTAACAATCCTCCGCCAATAATCAGTAGTAAAGAAGGTTACAATTAATTTTAGGGGATATTTGCTTGCTAGCTCACTATGAATTTACTATGATGTAGGCAAGTTCGACAGCGGTGACAACCCACAGCTTTATCAGGACTTCACTGTCCGAAAAGTCAGGAATTGTGAAATGAATTATTTGTGATAGATCATCATCATCATCAACAGCCCACAGTCGTCTACTGCTGGACATAGGCCTCTCCCAATCCACACCACTGAGCCCGGTCTTCGGCTCTCCTCATCCACTTCTTGCCGGCCACCGTGCGGAGGTCATCGCACCACCTAGCCAGGGGGCGTCCCACGTTACGTCTTCCGCTGCGCGGTCTCCACTCGAGAACCCGTCTGCTCCAGCGACCGTCAGTCCAACGGCATATATGGCCAGCCCACTGCCACTTCTGCTCACACTCTTTGAGCTATGTCGATGACTTTAGTTCTCTGTCGAATAATCTCATTCTGGATTTTATCCTTTTTTTTTTCTTAGATGGGTGGACGATCTCACTGCCCATAGACATATACAGCACAGCCCACCTGGTCTTAAGTGGTTACTGGAGCCCATATATATCTACAATGTGAATGCGCCACCCACCTTGAGATATAAGTTGCAAGATCTCAGTATAGTTACAACGGCTGCTCTATACCCTTCAAACCGAAACGCAGTAGTAATTCACGGCAGAAATAGGTAGGGCGGTGGTACCTACCCGTGCGCACTCACAAGAGGTCCTACCCCCATTAAATGGAATGGAAATTTGAGAGCCGGGTGTGAGTATAGATATTTATTTATTTATTTAAGGATTACCGACAGGGTTTACAGTAAGACATAAAATAATATTGACATGTAAAGAGCAATTGATAACTGCAACTCTAATTAGAGGCAATCACAGCATGCATTACATTAATATATCAATAGAGATTTTATAATACTATTAATAATAATAAAAAATTAAAAACAAAAGAAAGACAACAAGAGGCTGAGGTTCAACAACAACTTTTTATAATTTTGCTCTTGAATATTGGAAAGGAATCGCCAAATATGTCAAGGTTTTCAGCTTTTCTGACTAGATTATTATAAAGGTTAGTTAGACGAGGAGTAGATGAGTGCTTGCCTAGATTGGTTCTGCTAAAGCGGGTGCTGAAAAGAGCAACGGGGCGACGAGGTAACCTGGATGGCACCTTCAAAGATAATTTATTGAGGATGGATTAAGAGTCGATAGTACCGCTCATAATTGATGTAAAAAACATAAGATGTATGATAGGCATTATTGGACAAATAAGGAGACACCGACTTCACACAGTGGGACAAATGCAAAAATAATCCCCTAGTTCGGGCCCCAATCAACAACATAACTGAGAAGCGACTGATACGGAAACTCATAGTTGTATTGTCATTACGCTTGAGTGCACAGCAAAAGGCTGATTCGAAATTCCTCACGTATGTCCTTATCTATATTGTTCAGTAAAAAGGCAACAGCTAAATCATGTAATTCGATTTATGTAGTTGTCTGATTGTTATGTGCCACCGTTTGAACGGGGTAATTCGACTTGCGCTAGTACTGGACTTTGCTATTGTAAGGGACTAGTGGCAAATAAAAAAAACTAGTGATCCTCTGGTAGTCGAAATTCGACTATAACTAATGGAAATTATAAGTTTGTACACTATTATGATTCTATTGTCAAGGGCTATTATACTTATTTAATCACAGATTTCGTCAAGACTACACTTCAGACAAATATTGATAAAGAGAAAACAATATTTAATCTATTCTCAATTTGACAGACTATAACTGACAAACTGCAAAGAAAAGTTTGACAATAAGCCACTCAATAAACAAATAGTATGAATGCGTGTGTGTGTCAAATACATGGTAGTGCGTGTAATGTTTTCTTTATTGATTTAATGTATCTTTTATGCATTATTTAAAAAAAATATGAGCATTGTGCACTTCTTTTCTACAATCTCTATAAGTGTGAAAAATTTCATACTCCTCCGTCCGCGGAAAAAGGGATTTTCGTAAAAAGGGATACAAAGTTTTTGCTTCACGTATTAATATATAGATATATTAGCTATAGTATAAGCTTTCTAAAGCATCATTTTGTATTAAAAGAAACGATACATGTCAAAGTGATATAGCAAAAGAGCCTAAGGAAATCATAATATTCGACATTACCTTAAATTTTCCTTCTCTTCTTTCGTTCTATTAGATTTCATGAAATTGGACGGTAATTGCCTCATGCACATTGTAGTATCCATATATTATGTATTTTACTATAGTATCCGGTCACCGTCCTCGTCGAACCCGTCACTTGCGACGAAGGGCTGGACGAGCGAATTAACCCATAGACACATCCCACTGAGTTTCTCGCCGGATCTTCTCAGTGGGTCGCATTTCCGATCCAGTGGTAGATTCTGCGAAGCACTGCTCTTGCTAGGGACAGTGTTAGCATCACTCCGGTTTGAGCCCCGTGAGCTTACATACTAGTTAAGGTTACGCTGAAATGGCCTCTTAACGCTATCAGATTAGATAGGAAAAAAAAAAAAAAAATTAAAGTCGGTTAAAATTAGTACTATCTGAATTATATTCCTATTTTTCTGGTGACTTTTGTTGTCTATGGATACAAGTAAGCAGTGGTAACACAAGGAGGCGTGTGAGCCTTCACGTGATTTAAAAAAATCGTTCAATTTACTTAATAACATGTGTATGTACTCTTCTAATTAATTATAATATATAAATAGATACTCATTAAGGCTAATTGATTGGTGGTTAACGACTATTCGTTATTAAGTCTGGTGATTGAAAATCCGATTAGAACGACATAATGTATGAACTTCTGTTACCTCGGTGCAATAAATATTGGATGGAGTTAGAAGTCACTTTTGATACTTTGATGATGTAGAATATTCAATTGAAATACATATAAATAAATGTTTGCTGTGAGGAAAAAAGATGTCAGTTTAAAGATGAATGGTGGGGGCATATGATAAGAGCCGTTGATAATTAGCGTGGGACTTAGCTGGTTACCAAACAGGACTGGAATGGCGAGACTTGTGGTTCAAAGCCAGGTCGAAAGCAAGAGACCACGCGGCCGATCAACAACTCGCTGGACTGACGTAAAAAAGAAAGCAATCATTCTACCATGGTCTAGCTTAGTCAAAACGCTTCGAACTGTCAGATGTGGAACCGCATCGCCGGGGGAGGCAATCCTCTAAAACATCGGGAACTTTGCGAATACTTCTGCGTATTCACCGTCCTCGCCGAACCCGTCGCTTGCGACGAAGGGCTCGACGAGCGAATTAACCCATAGACACAGCCCACTGAGTTTCTCGCCGGATCTGCTCTTGCTAGGGTCAGTGTTAGAAACACTCCGGTTTGAGCCCCGTGAGCTCACCTACACACGTTAGGGCGAAGCTGAAATAGCCTCTCAAGGCTAGCAGCATAGTTAGGAAAAAAAAGCACCCACAATCAGTCTGACAAGAGTGCCCGACTAAGTAGACCCGTATGCTAAGTTGAGGATATGCAGATCAACGAAGAGTATAGAAGACGATGACCTGCCTAAGTAGCGGAAGGATGTCATCAACTCTGAACCTTGCCTATATCTGTAAAGGATACTGATGGTAGGACGTCTTGTAAGTCTGCACTGGTAGGTACCACCACGCTGCCTATTTCTGCCGTGAAGCGGTAATGCGTTTCGGTTTGAAGAGCGGGGCATCCGTTGTACTGTATAAAAGTGAGACCTTACAATGTCTCAATGCGGGTGGTGGAATTTACGTTGTAGATGTCTATGGGCCGTGAGCTCGTTCATCTATCTAAGAAAAAACAGGATGATTTGAAATCTACTCAAATAGGATATATACAAAAAATACCCAGAAAATAAAGCTAATATTATTTTTAATTGTAACCATGCAAGTAAGCTCAAACGATCCTTAAGCGATTTACAACAGAACGCGTTCTTGGTCACGTCTTCTTTGCACAGACAGTCGCAATCTCCTTACCGTTCACCGCCTTTATCATCCGCGTTATTAAACAACACAAAAAAAAAAAACTTAATCAAATCAACTCATTCTTCACATAAATCGTAAACACAAACAAAATTCAACCTTAAAACGGTATCAGGTTAAGTCGAATTTAATGTATGCGCGTGTTAATTAGTCATTTTAACGGATAGATAAGAGTATAACAAAGCAAATAATAGTAAAATAATAAGAAAAGAGTTATAAGGAACAGTGCTTAGTGAGTTTTGATATCGGATTGACGTCTCGTAATGGTTTACACGGTTAATTGTGATCGGGTTGTAATCACCAAGGATGTCGAACGTGGCAGCGTGTGGCGCGGCGTGGTCATAGCTCTCATTGGTGAGTGCGAAGGAGGAAAGTAGAGTCATCATCATCATCATCATCATTCTCCTACCCTTCTCCCAGTCAGTCGGTCAGGTCTTGTGAGTCTGCACTGGTAGGTACCACCACGCTGCCTATTTCTGCCGTGAAGCAATAATGCGTTTCGGTTTGGAGGCCGGGCACCCGTTGTACTGTTGAAAAAGTGAGACCTTACAACTCATGTCTCAATGCGAGTGGCGGAGTTTACTTTGTAGATGTATATGGGCTCCAGTAACCACTTAACATCAGGTGGGCTGTGAGCTCGTTCACCCATCAAAGCATTAAAAAAAATAAAGTCACCTGGGGTCGGCGCAACATGTTTCCTCCTTACATACTCTATTATATACCCTTTCTTCGCTCACTCCCCTCTTACACATATCGTCTTTCACAAGTAGAGTATTGCTTCATTAAGCGCGACATACATATTTATATATATTTCTTCTGTGCGTGTGTTTGTCCGTGTGGACCGATTTGAACGATTTTTTTTGTATGGGTTTGGGTGGCACCCTACATGGTTTAGATTCAAAATCAGCCCGGCAAAGGGCGCTGCAGTCGGTATCTAGGTTATTTATCTTTCCTAGAAATAATTTATATGGCAAAATAACGTTTGCCGGGTCAGCTAGTATATATATATGCATGTATGGGAATAAAGACGAAGGGAAGACCTACCACTGAGCAGGTATAATTTCTCGGTGAACCGACGTAGAACATCCGGAGCTTGTATAATATATGCGAGTGTTGGCGAGGAAGAGGAGGCAAGCAAGTGGTGTACGAAAGAAATTTTTGTTTTATTTTTCGTTCCAAATTATATTTTAACTAGCGACCCGCCCTCGCTTCGCTTCGGAAACATTAAAACACAAACAAAATAAAAAAATAAAAAAAGTAGCCTATGTTCATCAGGGACAATGTCGGCTTCTAATGGAAAAAGAATTTTTCAAATCGGTCCAGTAGTTTCGGAGCCTATTCGAGCAACAAACAAACAAACAAATCTTTCCTCTTTATAATATTAGTATAGATATAGATATAGATATACAGGTGATATACAGGTACACAGGTGTTATGTGTAAGGTTGCGAGAGAAGTGTCGGTGCGGTGGCAGTAGTGCTCCTTGACCGATGTTGGTTTTTTTTTGGTATTTTTGTACGCATAAACCAGCAAGCTTACCTTGAAAATGTCGAGTCTCAGGCTACTGTCAAACAACTTGTCGAGCAGTTCCTTTTCACTCCTTTTAGCGTAAGCGACAGTTAGACGCGACATTAATTTTTGTAGTTAAAGGTGCGTTTTATTTGGTATTAACATCAACAGTTTGATCTTTTTAATTGAACGCACGGTAGGCAGGGGCTTGGTTCTGCCCCTGACATTGCTGAAATCCATGGGCGACGGTAACCACTCACCATCAGGTGGGCCGTATGCTCATCTGCCGGCACGGCATAGCTTAAACTTCTCGTGTTCTATGATGGCTACCACCACACATTAAATTAAGACATATCTTTAAATAATAATGCTGTCAATAATAAATCAAATAATTTAAGCAAGAGTTTTAAGTTAGATTATTAAAATTTATTCATGGATTTTTCTCCTTTCATGCATTTTTTTATACATACATAATGAAATTCAGAAAACAAAACATCGATCGCTCTGTGTTGCATGTGATAACAATGTGGCGGGTAGCCATCATACAACGCAAGATAATTGACAGATGCCTGAATCTCGCTTACGACATTTTCAAGATAAAGCGCATATATACAAGTTCCGAACAACAACATTAGGACCGTCGGTCTACCGAGCAGATATCACCCGCCAGGTGGAAGATCTTCCCTTTGTCGTATATCTCTCCATAAACAACATGTCAATTTGTCCTATCCACATCTTAAATTCTAAATATACAAACAAAAGACACAAGTAGGTATAGTTAAAAATTTGAGGTCTTGAAGTCGTCGTGGCCTAAAGGATAAGACGCCCGGTGCATTCGTATCAAGCGATGCAACGGTGTTCGAATCCCGCAAGTAACATTTTACTAATGAAATACGCATTTAACAAATGTTCACGATCGACTTCCACGGTAAAGGAAGAACATCATTTAATAAAAAGTCGAAGCCGCAAAATTATAATTTACGTAATTACTGGTGGTAGGACGACTTGTCAGTCCACGCGGATACGTACTACCACCCTGCCTATTACTGCCGTGAAGCAGTAATGCGTTTCGGTTTGAAGGGTGGGGCAGCCGCTGTAACTATACTGAGACCTTAGAACTTATATCTCAAGATGGGTGGCGTATTTACGTTGTAGATGTCTATGGGCTCCAGTAACCACTTAGCACCAGGTGGACTGTGAGCTCGTCCATCCATCTAAGCAAAAAAAAATGCAGCCCGGTCCAGTGCTGCATTGTCGAGCAGTCCAGATCCATCCTCCAGGAGAAAAGCTGCATGTAGGGTGACGGCATTGACGTTGTAAAAAAACAAATACAATTTATGTCAAACCGACATTTAGAAGTTGGTGAATGATTCCATTAAATAGATACCGATCAAGCTAATAAAAGCGTGTTAATATGAAATCGATTTAGTCAATTGGCGAGTTGGGTTTGTTGTTTTGTTCAAAGAGAACTGAACTGACAGCAGCAATTGTTATCGAAGGACGTTCGAATTAGACTAGTGGTCCCCCGGTACATACTCGAAATTCGACTATAATTATTTGAAATTACTAGTGGCCCCGCAGTAATCGAGATTCGACTATAATTAATTGTAATTATAGTCGAATTTCGAGTACCGAGGGACCACTAGTCTAATTCGAACGTCCTTCGATAACAATTGTTGCTGTCAGTTCAGTTCTCTTTGAACAAAACAACAAACCCAACTCGCCAATTGACTAAATTGCTATCCAGCGTGGAAATGCTGCCAGCCTTCTGGGAACTCTGCCAACCGGCGGTGAGCTAACACAGATTTTCTATTTATAAGTAGCTTTACCTAAATAATTATTATTTTTATTCATTTATTAGATTTAATTAGATATATATTTTAATGTTTTTTATTTGTAATTTTTAATTAGATTAGATGGAGCATTTAAAAATAATCTTAAATTGTATATAATCATATTTATGTTTTATATATGAACCAAATAATTGTAATTGTAAGTTTAAACGTTATTATGATTCTATTGTCAAACACTATTATAATTCGATAATATAATCACAGTATTCGCCAAAACTGCACTATAGATCAATAATATTAAAGACAAACAATATTAATCTATTTTCAATTCGACCACAGACTTTAAACAATAACAAAAGTTTCCCAATTGACAGTAAACAAAGAGTATATTTTTATGTATGTGTCGTGTCAAATACATGGTAGTGTGTGTAATGTTTTCTTTATTGATTAAAAGTATATTTTATGCATTATTTTAAATAAATATTAGCATTGTGCACTCCTTCTCTATATTCTTTATAAGTGTGAGAAATTTCATACTCCTCCGTCCGCGCAATTTTCGTAAAAAGGGGTAAAAAGTTTTGCTTCACGTATTAATAATATTGTTTGACCGACTCGATGGTGCCGTGATTAGCGCCCCTGACTTTTGCGCCGAGGGTCGTAGGTTCGATTCTCGCATCGGGCAAGCTTTGTGTGATGAAAACGTTTGCTTACCCTTGTGGGGTGTTTGTTATCTATTTATGTATATATTTAAATGTATATGAGTATGTTTATCAGGTACTCACAATAGAGGGAATCTTAACTTGGGGCGGGTGACCGTGCGTAATTTGTTCCCAATTAATTATTATTTATTTATTGGGAGCCCGTTTGAGTTAGTTGCCGTCTGAAAGGGGTTAGCAGGGGTTATTTTATGGTCAGGGGACATTTTTAGTTTATATTATTGCATAGATCTGTGAACGTGGTCGCCGTGACCGTATCTGTTGTGAAGTAAAACAGTCTATTGAGCCCTCAGCAAATTTCCACCAATTTACTAAGAGATTATTTCATTTCATTCAACACATTATGGTCATGTCTGATCGTATGTGTCTCAATTTTATTTCATTGTTTATATTAACCGTTTCAATTTTCATACAACAAAGCACTATATAAGTCAATCCGGAATCAGACAATGTCAGATCGAAACGTTTGACAGGGATTTATTTTTTTGCTTAGATGCGTGGACGTGCTCACAGTCCATATGGTGTTAAGTGGTTGCTGAAGTGCTGGAGCCTATAGACATCTACAACGTATATGCGCCACCCACATTGAGATATAAGTTGTAAGGTCTCAAGTATAGTTACAACGGCTGCCCCACCCTTAAAACCGAAACGCATTACTGCTTCACGGCAGAAATGGGCAGGGTGGTGGTACCTACCCGCGCGGACTCACAAGAGGTCCTACCACCAGTAATGCACTGATAAACGTGCACGGGATGGTCTGATAAATACATAAAATATTATTAATGTGTTTCAGCAAGCCTAGGATTCTTCACTCACGGCATTCAAACTGCCAATTTGACGTCCACAGCCCATTCGGGGCACTTTATCAACACAGACCACGTACCTTGGAGTACCACTGCTCTAGTGATCACAGCAGCCATAGCCGGTCCAGTATTTTGTTATACCATCGACAGACATGGAAGGAAAATGGGAATTTTTATTATTAATCTGGTTCAAGGTGTGAGTACTTTTTTAAAAGTTACGTATAATTATTATATTATTATTATTATCATAATGAATACATTCATTTCTATATTTTTTGTTAATTGTTATATTTTGGAGCTCACATATTGTCACTTTTATACGATCCATGAATTTCAGTTTAATTGTTGTATATTGAATTTCTATTTTTGTCTATTTGAAGTAAAGCTGTTTTATTCTTTGTACGAGGAGCACTGCTGCTTGAGATACAGGTTTTATCACCTAGTTCAAGCACAGATGCCAATTATGATTGTGTTTCTACTTCTATGTTAATAATAAATGAAAAAAAAAAAAAAATGAGCTCATGGACTGGTGTTAAGTGGGTTCCATAAATGATGTGACGAGATAGCGTGGACCCATCAAAAGTTTCATGTCTTTTGAGGTCTCAATTATCTTGTTTACAATTAACCATGAACGCGTGAGTTCATAATGCGCCCTAAAAGCCATTCTTTAATGAACTGAGTTTTTTAATCGAATTAGAGGATACTTTTTTTTCTTGTTCTTTTACTTCTCTGCTTTTATCATTTACACTCCTTCTTTTTCTTTCATTATCTTTTTTATCTTCGTATTGTTTTAATTTGGACGTTACTGAGCTACAGGAAATTAGTTTAAAAATCACATAATTCTACTGATAAAGATCTTCACTTGGGGTAATTTGATGTGGTGTAAAAATTTCATTCCACAGGCATCCTTAATACCCCTGTTCTTTCTAAACGATACAAGCACAATCATTCTACACGTAATCGCCGGCATGGCCACTGGAGGCTTATTCACCGTATGCCCAATATACATCCAAGAAATATCATCGCTAAAAACAAAAGGCTTCTCAATGTGCGTAACGATGGTGATGACCGCAGCAGGATACATGATGAGATTGGTGATGAATCTCGAAGAGAGGATGTTCTTTATGGTGGCATTGGTGATGTTCCAGTTTATTTTGATGGTCTTCGTATTGGAGTCTCCTAGTTATTTGGTGATGAAGAGAAAATTTGAGGTAAGATACTTATTAAGTTTAATTCACACATCCAAACAGGATATATTAAAACTCCTAGTAAAGATAAGTGACGTGGCTGGCGATGAGTAGCAGGATAATTCTATAATAAATCAGATTCTAAAATAATACTATATAAATGTGCGAAGTTCGCTAAGTAACATAAATAAAAGGAATAGCCCCGCGTGATCTACTGTTTCGGGAAAAACGGGGTACTTTTGGCAGTCATCTATGTATAACATTGTGGGTGATTGATTTCTCTTAACAATAGCACAGTATTTTAATGCCATTTTAGACTATAGGCATAGCCCTTAGCAGACACAAAAATGCGTATTTTTTTCTTTGCATTTTGATATGCTTTTCCAATGATAGCATAATTTATTTCGATGAGATTTTCGATAATTGCTATAATGAAAATTATATGTACCAATGTCTGGTGCGATTTTTTATTTCAATATTTACCAGTTGCATCTATTTTGCCATTTCGTGATCCGTCCGGGGAGTCAAAACGATTGTTTTTAAGTTTATTAGTTCGTCACCTCTGAATTCCTCCTTAGTCTTATGTAATTTTTTCCCTTACTTTAAACTTTGGTGGCTCTATAATTATATAAATTATAAACATTATTATTCAACGGGTTCTTATCACGATTTTTGCATTCAATGAGTTCTCCATATTTCCGTCACTGATTGTCGCGAATAGTCCTGCCGTGACCACGGCGCTTGCAACACCCCGAAACGCCGGGAACTCATCAAATCGCAGTAAGAACTCATTAGATAAAAGAAATAACCGGGAACAAGTCACGCACGGTTATCCGGGCCCAAATCAAGATTTCCTGTGTTATCGAAACCCGAGACTGACATGAATACTTATACACCTTTATACATGTAAATACATATCGACGCTTGAAAGGCAAACGTGACTAAGCGACAATGCGTGAACTTTACAGTAGACTAATATAAAGTTGAAATACCTGAAAAAAAAATTAATTATTTTAACGAATCTAGCTGTAGTAGCATCTAGCTAGTAGCTGTAGGATTGAAATGATTTTAATAGACCTAGAAATATATATTTTTTGCGCATCGAATATGGTTATTGCCTATCATTTATGTATAAAGCAGTTATGTCGCTTAGTCACGTTTGCCTTTCAAGCGTCGAATTAGATACCAGATAGATTGTAAATACCCAAGCATACCTGAAGACGTATACAACTATAAAGTTTTAAGATACAATTTAAACTTAGTTGCATTGGCAATCCATATTTCAAACTGAGTCAAAAGATCTCTTAGCAGCAGAAATGAGTTGAATCAATAAAGTTTTTTTTTTATTATTATTATTATTATTAATCATCATTTATACAAAGACTTCGTTATCACAGAACTCGTGGTGATTAAGAAAAAAAAAACTATTATCATTACGTGCTTAAGTAACGCCGTAGGTAGGTACTTTTGTATGTCTAGTTGAAAAAGTATTATCAGTCCATTGTTTTTGCAAAATGTCTTTATGCTGTTTCTCTTCTATTCGAAATATATGAAGTGTAGAATCTGGTTTTTATCAAAGGATCGCCTGCTGTATTGGTATAAGGGTCTACTTAATGTAGAACATAATGACCTCAAATAACCTCAAATAACCTCAAGTGATTTCACTTCATTGATCAAGAGGAGAGGACACTACAGGATCCGAGTTCAATTTTCAGCTGAAGTCAGCATCTTTGTCAAATATAGTCTATTTTCCTAGTCTCAGTAATTGTAGAATGTACTTATGATTACTCCAAAATTATTGTTTTGCTATGTAGATTGGATAAAAATCAAAAGTAATTGAACTCAAGTCCAATGAAACAGTAGTTAGGGTCAAATTTATATTGTTTCTTTCATATAAAAATTACTAAAAACAAGCGTTTAATTTGAAAGCATTTCTCTATCACTGTTTACAAAAAAACCTTTGAGAAGTCATGAAAATAGCTATGAGACCAACAACAGACAATGGACGCATTTAGACGACAAAAGGATACTCTTTCTTACGACTAAAGCCCATTCTTTACATACAAAAGATATTTGATAGCAAAGAGAGACACAGACAGCTTGGAGCGAACACCTCATAATATAATAAGGTGTAATAAGCGAACGCCTTGTGGGCAGGGACCTCTTAAACTAGGATGGGGCCCTTGGGCACACAAGAATTTGAGGCCTTTTGGAAAGTAAAAAAAGCGAATTATAATAACATTTTTTTACTGAGTATAACCATTTATTGTAGGTAATCAAATACAGTATGATACAATATGTCATTAATGATATTAGAATGCTGCTGGTTTTTTGGTTACGATTTCGATAACGGTTTCTTTCGGATTCGGATTTCTGTTGAGCAAAATCTTATATTATAGGCATAGTATATGCCTTGTAAATACCTTCTGATTACTGATTTGTGAAAAAAGTGTAATGTGCCCGACAAAAATGTTTTGAGGATAAACGTGTGAGAGAAATTGTCGGTCTTTCGGGGCCCCTGAGAATGGGGGCCCTGGGCACGGGCCCCGTGTGCCCTTATGGTAAAGACGGTATTGCTTGTGGGATCTCGTGGTAAAACTATTTAAAAGACCTATGTAATTATTTAATATATGAAAGCCGCCGTAAAAGCAAACCAATGATTCTTTTTAGTCTTTTTTAAATTAAAACGTTGGGGTATCCATCAACATACATTAAAAACTATAAAATGTAAAAATAGATTCTGAAATTTCATTAGATTCATCCCTTGGAGGTTCTCTTGGGTGCGTGATCACCAATAGCTCACTTCTGTGGAATAAAAATGTACTCAATATCAAATTGATTCCCAATATTAAAGTGTAGTAGGACACAAGACGATAAAACATTTTATTATGAAAGTAACTAATGCATCTCTAATGCAATATCAAACTTGGCATATCTTTGTATAGCTATAAACTAACTGATCAGTTAATAGCCCTAGACACGTCCTTACGGATCCATCAGATCCAATAACCTTTACATTAGACGCCTTCAGCTCTAACATAGAAGCAGGCTTAGGGACCCCGGTAACCGTACTCGGCGAATTCGATAAATAGGTCGACGTGCAATCTAACCCATGCATCAGCCCGCTGAGTTTCTCTCCGGATCTTCTCAGCGCGTCGCGACTTCGATCCGAAAGTAGATTCATTCGCAAAGCAGTTGCTCTTGAGTTGTTGGGTCTCCTTCGGAGACGCTCGGGCAGCTGTTAGCAAATCCCACTTCTCTTGGCTGAGCCTTTGCTCGCCCCCCTGTCCTGGTGAAACTGGAAAGCCCCTCCGGGCCACCAGTAATGAATCCTAAATACTTAAATATTACTGCGATGCCCCCGTATTATGTAAAATTTTCCTTTTTGCCCACACATGTGGATTCTTCTTTTTTTTTTTTTTATGATTGAAAGATTACTGGTGGCCCGGAGGCCTTTCCAGCTTCACCAGGACAGGTGGGCGAGCAAAGGCTCAGCCAGGAGGGGTGGGATTTGCTAACAACTGCCCGAGCGCTTCCGAAGGAGACCTAACAGCTCAAGAGCAGCTGCTTCGCGAATGAATCTACTACCGGATCGGAATCGCGACCCGCTGAGAAGATCCGGCGAGAAACTCAGCGGGCTGATGCATGGGTTAGGTTGCACGTCGACCTCTTTGTCGAGTTCGACGAGTACGGTTACCGGGGTTCCTCAGCCTGCTCCTAGTGTTAGAGCTGAAGGTATCTAATGCAAGAGTTATTGGNTGTGCATGCGGTGCACGGAATTTACTGGTAGGCCTTGTTCTATCAGATCAGCCTTGACGAGATCGGCATCTAGCTCCTTCGGGATTCCACGTATGACAACGCGGAGTTCGCGCTCCTCCTGGAGCGTATAAGTGTGGAAACTTATACGCTCCTTTCGGAGGTAACTTGAGAGGGCCCTATGGTCGTCGGGTGTCGTTACTTTTTGAATCCCGTTGGCGAGATTACGGGCGCTGACAAAATTAATATTTTTGGCCTTAAGGGCCAGGGAAACTCGGTCCCAAGCTGCCTTCTCTTGAAGGATTACCGGGGGAGAGGTCTGAGTTTTAGATTGTGCCACTGGACGCGGCGACGGTGTGGCACGGACAGCGGGAGCGACGGGGGTTGGAGGGCGGGGACGCGACGCGTTCGCGGCTTTGCCTACTTTAGCGGCCGCGGGAGCTCGGGCCTCCGCAGCGCGCTTTTTACCTTTTTGGACTACTGTGAATCCATCAGTCGCGGCGGCGGGGGAAGGGTCGACCTCCATGTCCGACTCTGAATCGGATGAGGAGAGCGCGGGCGACCTGCGGGTGGGTGTTTTAGCGGGCGCAGTGGACGACGCAGGCACGACGGAGGCTGTGGACGAACGCACGGATGCAACGTAGGCCGCCGACGAACGCACGGTTGGGGCGGAAGCTGCAACGGTCGACGCAGAAGTTTTGGGTGCGAGTATCGGGGACACGGGATTGGCGGGCGCGACGGAGGCCGCGATGGACGACGCAGAAGCGACGGGGGCGACGGAGACTGCCGGCGAGTTCGCTGCGTGATGGGTCTTGAATTCTAAAAATTCTGCCGATAGCGTTGGGTACCTAAGGTGAAGAAATTCTGCAAACAGATCGACCGTGGACTCCATTATAATGGACGAGTGCCCAGGGGGGGCTGCCCCGGGACTTTAAAAACACACTCGCCTTACGGCGAGGCCCCAAAAATTGTAATAATCACAATTAATTACGGCACACAGCCGTCCGCTTGCAAACGGGCCACTAAGTTACCGAATGAATTCCTGGAATTTAGGGGTCCGCACGCTCACAGATGGCGATGCGACGCAATTAGTACAGGTAGTCACTTTCGAGAAAAACACTTGGACGCCAGATGTGCCCCGAACCGAGGTCGGGCAATCGAACGGTCGATGAGCACGTCAGCACGCGACGGGTGCCTGAATCGGAATCGGCATGTGGATTCACAACTACTAGCTAATAATTAAGATTTTTTTGCTGATCAACAAATAATACAATTAATTAATTCATTTTAAAACTCGGCATTATGTCTGCGTCGTGAACAGTTATAAAGGTTTTTTTTTTAAATCAGTACCTCTTTCTAGAATCTAAGCTACATATAGTGGCGTCTCTTCATACGCATACACTAGTTTTATTTGTGGGGCCGCGGATGTTTCTAATGCATGTAATTGTCTTTATTACAATTGAGCGATGCAGTCCGACCAATTTAGCTATCATCTCGAATGAAACAACAATTGGACGTGTCGAAAGTATTATTGAATAATAACACTGTTTACATCTCTTACAGTTTGAAGGGATAAATTGACCGGAATTCGTGAGCCGTGGTTATGGCAAATTGTATCCTTGCTTAATTTCGTAATACGGAACTCTAGTGTATAGGTTAGATATGGCAAATAGGAAGTCACAAATAGCAGTGTAATTCCGATCTAAGCCCCAAATCAATCGAGACTTTATTTGTAGGTCTTAAGCGGACAGCCAAACTCAGGCTGTGCATCATGCAATATATCCACAAACTCTATTGTACTTAATATCATAATTTTATGATATATAGTGTCTATTAAGCAAATCGATTTTGACGGAATTATTTGTGTTTGGCATTGACATTCAAAACAGATCACTTGTCTAGTATTGTGATAGTTTATTGCTATATGTCGCCCGAATATAAAGCCAAATTACCAAATTACTCATCAGTGGAATTTATGTAATTAGTTGAAAAAAAAAAGAATTAATTTCTTCTCTGTTTCCAAAATTAACTCCAAAATGTATAAATTACGTACATTTCTCTTCTTTTGCAACAAATTTCAGGAGTTTCTATATCAGTTTGTTATACAGCTGACTGATCATTAACAAGATGAATGTCTGTAGTTGGTGTCAAATAATTTATCTTACTGAAATTTTGATGGAGGTGATTTTCCGTCTGTACGAAATCAAGACGTTAAAGTATCATTGTTTAGCTCGCTTGGTTCTCTAGAACCAAGCGTGGTGGTCTAGAAGACCTGAGCTACTTCGTAATCAGGTTCGGGTTCTGGTTCCGGCTTATCTAACTTTGTTTAAATGTTTGTCATTCGATTGACTTTGTTGGGTCTCTTTCCGGTACGTGTGATAACTTTTGGCTTCGGAGTGTACATCGTATAAATCACTTTCATTGAATACTTTTTCGTGTAAATGAACATTTTAGGTTTCCTCATTAAAAAAAGCTTATTACCATGTGACGTATTTAACAAAGTTATAATAAACAAAACTGAAAATCGACATCAATAACCACGTAACTCAACTTTACGTAACAATTGAACCATTTATAGAGTATATCCTTACAAAGAAAAATAATATTGAGAGTCAGTCTACAAATAACCGAAAAATCAATGAACATATTTAAAATAAATAGTATTGAAAATAATACGTGGCTACTTTTTTGAAATGTTTAAAACTACTGGTGTTAGGAGCACCTATGAGTCCGCACAGGTAGGTACCACCGCCTTGCCTATTTCTGCTGTGAAGCAGTAATGCTTTTCGGTTTGAAGGGTGGGGCAGCCGTTGTAACTATACCTGAGACCTGAGAACTTATATATCAAGGTGGGTGGCACATTTACGTTATAGATGTCAAAGGCTCCAGTAACCACATAACACCAGGTGGACTGTGAGATCGTCCACCTATCTAAGCAATAAAAAAAAACTCTATTTTAGAATCAAACACTCGTAGAAGGATTAGCATTGCTTCTAAACAGACGCTTGAGATCATCACGACTATACTACGGAAATGAAGTTTCACGAATTAGGAGCATCAACAAGACAAAGCCTCTTAGCTTGCCCTTTCCCAAAAACAGCTTACCAAATTCTCAAATTTCAACCTTAATCACTGACAATTATTTTTATATGTCACATTTTCTCTTCTGTAATGTTTCCGGTTATTAGCATAGACCTTTATTCAGTGGTTATTAGATTAGTTTCATAAAAAACAAACATGTATATAAACGTCAATGGATTCCAAACCAAAGAGAAAAGCTCTTGATATTGAAGAAGGAAATAATACTATCGATCTTGGCCTATTTATAAGTACTAGTGCGGTCCCCCAGTAGTCGAAATTCAACCGTACTCGTAGAACTCGACAAAGAGTTTGACGTGGAATCTAACATATGCATCAGCCCGCTGAGTCTCTCATCGGATCTTCTCAGCGGGTCGCGGTTCCGATCCGGTAGTAGATTAATTCGCGAAGCAGCTACTCTTGAGTTGTTAGGTCTCCTTTGGAGGCGCTCGGGTAGCTATTAGCAAATCCCATCCCTCCAGGCTAAGGCCTTGCTCGCCCACCTGCCCTGGTAAAACTGGAAAGGCCTCCGGGCCACCAGTAATCTCTCAAACATAAAAAAGTGCATCGAGGTCTTATCCTTTAGGCCACGACGACTTCGTCATATTTATTGTTCGAATAGGTTTGTTTGTTCTTCTGTCGCTCAAAATTTTCAAAGTGTATAAATGTATTTATTTAATGAAACTTTTATTCAGTGTCAATAACACAATAAATACCTTGTTCATGTCAATTTTCGTTTTCCAGTTTATTTTAATGACCAAAACTATGTTTGTGGTTAATAATTAAAACTCTACTTATACGATTTAATCTCGCATTTGTGTTATAATCGTAATTATTATGTCAGACATTTGGAATTCATTACAGTTTTCACGGTCACGAACGCCTAAGGTGTTTAATCGTTGATATTTGTATATCGTGCCGTCTATATTTCCATTAAAGAAAAAATCTAGATCTTTACATTTCATTTCAGACAGAAAGAACTAACATTATCTTGAGGTCTGACTGTTTGTTTGATTTAAGTTTTCATCTTCAAGATAAAAGGATCCCAGATGTTTGTGTTTTAATCACGCAACTATTGTTTTCATTTGATTATTTCTTAGATTTCGTATACTTTCAATAATCATCTTTGACATCGAAATTATCCGATAATAATACCCATGAAATTCGAAAATCTATAAGTTATTTGAAATTTCATGACGAGGTATCTGTGTTTAGAAGTACACAAAATATAATATACTAGCTGACCCGGCAGACTTCGTAGTGCCTCAATCGATAAATAAAAGACCTAAACTTTTGTATAAAATAAACTTAAAACAAACAAAAGGAATCCGTCCGACGGGGAACACATCAAAGGAAAAACAAAATTGTCTGTTTTTATATAATTCTGAGCATTTTCATATTTTTTCACCTTTTAAACCTTCTCTGGACTTCCACGAATAATTCAAGACCAAAGTTAGCCAAATCGGTCCAGCCGTTCTCGAGTTTTAGCGAGATTAACGAACAACAATTCATTTTCATAGAATATCTTCCAAATGGTCTAGTGATTGATCGCTAATAGTTCTCGAGAATATTTCCTGTGTAATATTCTGTGATGTTTCCGAGTAACTTACAAATTTACGTTATATTATTACATGAAGCAAAAACTATGTACCCCTTTTTTCGAAAATGTCGCGAAGGGAGGAGCTTATAATTTTTCCCACTTATAGAGAATATAGAGTAGTGCAGATAATTAATATTTTTTTAATTATGCATAAAAGTAAATTAAATCAATAGTATTTGTTTAATGTCAAACTTTTCTTATTGGTTATAGTCTGTGGTCAAATTGAGAATAGGTAGATTAAATATTGTTTTTCTTTATTATTATTTATCTTTAGTGCAGTTTTGGTGAACACTGTGATAATATTATCGAATTATAATAGTGTTTGACAATAGAACCATAATAATGTTTAAACTTATAATTTCAATTCAATAAAGTCAAATTTTGACTACTGTGGGACCACTAGTCTAATTTAATTGGGCGATTTTGACGTCAATACCTGACGTCAGATCGCTGTGCCGTGAAAAAAATGGCGCTAATTCGTTGAACAATTACCGAAAAAGCCTTTGTAAATTTTTCGTAATTGAATTGTCACGCTTAGTAGTTTTGGGTATTGGACAATGTCTATTTAAAATTAAGCTTATTGTTACGGATTCCATGAACGATTAGTCCCATTTAATAATTGTCATTAAAGAATTTCAATAGGCTTATTGTTGGCTATAATTAAACTGACAGGACATTTTATTTTAGCTTTAATACGAATTAAAGTAATATTGATTGATCAATCATTTTTCAGACTGCTTCGGCCCTTATCGCAAAACTAAGAGGATTAGATGAAGATAATCCAAACGTCATGAAAGAGCTCAAAGATCTTCGAGAAGAGAGTGACAGAGCAAGAGCTAACGGAAGAATCACTATACGAATGATTTGTAAATACTTTTATAATGTATTAGCTGTACCCGTCCGCTTCGCTGGGCATTTAAAATTACTGTCACCCCTACAAACATTCTCATCATTAACGCCCCCGCAACTGGTATAGGGAGTCCAACACTCATATAAATATTAGCCTATCCATTAAGTACATATATTTTCTACATAGATGCCAAGTTTCAAGTAAATCGGATGCATGGTTCAGTAGTTATAACAGAACATCCGTAAAAACCACTGTAGATTTTTATATTAACTAGAGGTCCCGCAGTAGTCGAAATTCGACTATAATTAATTGGAGTTTGTACACTATTCTGATTGTATTTTATACTTCTATAATCACAAATTTCGCCAAGGCTACACTATAAAAAATATTAATAAAGACAAACAATATTTAATCTATTCTCAATTTGACAACAGACTTCAAGAACAAAAGTTTGACAATAAATAGTAGGTATGCATGCGTGTGTGCGTCAAATACATGGTATGTAGTGTGTGTAACGTTTTCTTTATTGATTTAATGTATCTTTTATGCATTATTTTAAAAAAATATTAGCATTGTGCACTTCTTCTCTATATTCTCTATAAGTGTGGAAAATTTTATACTCCTCCGTCCGCTCAATTTTCGTAAAAGGGATACAAAGTTTTTGCTTCACGTATTAATATATATATATTAATATAGATTTTCTTCATATTTCGCGTGTCGTATACATAATTAAAAGTATACATTGCATCTAGAACCTTACAGCTTGTGTCATAAAGTAAAAATTTCAAAATCAACTAAGTACTAAGCGTCTTAAATTTCAACGGTCCATTGAATTTGCAGATCGCAACAAAATCTGGTGGGATAGTATCAAAATTGGTTTAGTGCTGTACACAACTATGATCCTATGTGGGAGTATAGTGTTTCTGAACCAAAGCAAGGCTCTGATCCAGCTGAAAGGGTACGATGATCCGCAAAGTGTATTGGTGACCAGCGCCTTACTCGCCGGAAGTCTTCTGACTTTGATCTGCGTCACAATTCTAGATATGAAAGTAAGTGATTTTGAATAATTCCTCTATAAGGCTCCCCGCACACTGGGCAGCCTGGCTGCGGCAGCCATAGCTTAGCAGATAGATTAGTATAGATTATCATTAATCAATTAGCAGCAATGTTTTTATTTAACTTCAATTATGTTGACACCATTCGAACGGCTGAAGAAGTTTTTATTCACGATCTTTTTTCCAAATTTTAAACCTTAAATGGCTCTCATGTAAAGTTTCAAAAATATTGCTTAACCCAAACAACATTTCACCCCTCGATATAATTTTACGCTATAAAATTAATTATTACGATGAAATTATTTTCAGTATCTTCTGAGTCTTGGGTACGCGATAATGGCATTAGCGTCTGGAGTGTTGGCAGTTTACAACCAAGTCGACCTAGAAGTGACGTCATATCAATGGCTGGCAATAGCTTCTCTCGCGACTTTGTTATTTGGTTACGGAATGTCTTGGGTATTACCTATTATTGTTTTAACGCAGACTCTTAACTTTGAGGTAAGAATTCACAGTCCTAATTTAATCCAGTCTTTGTAACGGAGAGCTTAAAAGCTTATAATGAACGTTTCAACTTGAAACCGCACTGTTCTTAACCATCAAAATTGCAGCGTTTGGTGAAGTCATGTTTTTTATTTTTTTATTTTTTTTATTGCTTAAATGTGTGGACGATCTCACAGCCCACCTGGTGTTAAGTGGTTACTGGAGCCCATAGACATCTACAACGTAAATGCGCCACACACCTTGAGATATATGTAGTTCTAAGGTCTCAGTATAGTCACAACGGCTGCCCCACCCTTCAAACCGAAACGCATTACTGCTTCACGGCAGAAATAGGCGGGGCGGTGGTACCTACCCGTGCGGACTCACAAGAGGCCCTACCACCAGTAAAAAATGTGACGTCATATGGGGCCAAAGTTTAGGGAAAATTTACCATACCTAAGAATTTGATACTCAACGAGTGGCCAAAAATTAGAGCATGCGTAATAATCGGTCAAACAAACGTTTCAGTTTTTTTAATTTAGTTGGTAGTTTGAATGAATTCTTTACACTTGCAAATTAAAAGCAGTGCTTACTGTCATGGCGTGAGGTCTCTTGAAACCACGTGGAACGTCAACACTAGCAACGCTTAATGACAATATCAAGACGTTCAAACTTATATGGATTTAGTAACACGACTCTTTTTACTGGTGGTAGGATCTTTTGTGAGTCCGCATAAGCAGGTACTAACGCCCTGCCTATTTCTGCCGTGAAGCAGTAATGCGTTTCGGTTTGAAGGGCGGGGCAGGCGTTGTAACTATGAGTATACTGGGAGCTTAGAACTTATATCTCAAGGTGGGTGGCGGCATTTACGTTGTAGATGTCTACGGACTCTGGATACCACTTAACACCAGATGGGCCATGAACTCTTCCCACCATATAAACAATAATTTTTAAAGGATTTTATGACCTGGTAACTAAGACCTTTAAAGTCATGTCCTAATTTATTCTTTTATTTTATTTTTATGAAAAATGATAATATGGAGTGAAATGAAATTAAGATGATTAATTTGAGACATTAATCAACTGGTATGAAATTAAATCAAATGGGATGAAATATAATTTCATTAAAATGGTGATCATTTACTGAGATTTTTTCAGTTGACTTTTTGGAGGATCCCGAGAAGTTACGCCCAGCGGCTTTATTTCATTTTCCCACATTTGTGCACTTTCACAGATACTAAATAAACAGTTAATAAACCACCGTTGTTACACATTTAAACCTGAAGAAACACTAAATAGACAAAATAAAACAAATCACACAACTTCATTTCTCGCGTTCCCGCCAAAAAGTCTATAAACAATAAATAAATAAAAAATACGTCTACCCACTGTATATGTTTGTTAAGTAATTTGTAGTAATTAAGCAGTAATAATGTATACTTACACGAATTAGTTAAATTGTAACCCCAAATTGAACATTTTCGTGTTTTGTTACAGATAAAAGCGACGTTGCTAGGAATGCTTTTCGCTTATTTTCAACTAATCAAACTAGCACACGCGTACACCTTTCCATACATCGAAGAGTACGTCGGTGCCTACACCCTGTTCTATATATTTGCAAGCGTCAACTTGTATGGTGCTGTATACAATTTGTTCGTTAGTCCGAACGTGAATGGTTTGAATGTTAGACAAATCGAGAAGCAAATTAAAAGGATACCTTTGCCGGCGTGATTAGAGTTTTTTTTCGACTGGCACGTTGGTGTAGTGGTCAGCACTCCTAAGGGCTGGGTCGAGGTTGGTTTTCTCACACGACAAACATTCGTGTGATGAAGAGTTTGGTTTGCTGTTAATCTAAGTGCCTCATAAGTAAATATGATTTTATTATTATTGTGCATTTTTTATATTAATTTGGTTATTATTTTCCCGATTTTCTGTGTGTTTTTTCCCCCCTACCTAATCGTTGGTAGCGTAAGGGACTATTACCACTCCGCACCGACCGGTAGGTGAGCTGACGGGCTCAACCTAAAAGAATTGTTAACACTGGCCCTAGCAAGAGCAGTGCTTCGCTGAATCAACCACCGGATCGGAATCGCGACCCACTGAGAAGATCCGCCGAATAACTAATGTTTTTTTTATTGCTTAGATGAGGGTGGATGAGCTCACAGCCCACCTGGTGTTAAGTGGTCACTGGAGCCCATAGACATCTACAACGTAAATGCCGTCACCCATTTTGCGATGGTCTCAGTATAGTTACAACGGCTGCCCCACCCCTCAAACCGAAACGCTCGGGTAGCTGTTAGCAAATCCCACACCTCCTGGCTGAGCCTTTGCTCGCCCACCTGTCCTGGTGAAACTGGAAAGGCCTTCGGGTCACCTGTAATCTTTAAATCAGAAAAAATATAAAATAAAAAAAGAACATTTCTAGTTGGAGGCGATTTCAATCACTACATATGCTGTAAAACTAGGTGGAGTGCGAACTCGTCAGGTCATATATCCGTGACGTCATGAACGTATTCTAAGTTATTATGTCAGCATATCGTGAGCTCTTAATACGAACGTCAAGTGCATTTGATTTATTGGATTTTTTATCGCTCAATACTGCCGACGGAGCGATAGGGAAACCGTTGACCTGGATCATGATTAATATTTAGCATTCGAGTGGATGATCGATATTTACAATTAGCAGTCGGACTTTGGAAGGCAATATATGCAATGCGGACGATCTCCAACACGATGGACCGACCTCATAAAATCTGTTACTCACTCCAACATAAATGATTGCTCTCACTCTGCGAAACATCGTGCCACATGGCGTCGCATCGCGAGAGCATCGGTATCGCAGGATCCGACCGATGCACGACCACGACCACTCTGTCAAGAGTGTACGAATAGGAAGAAATATGCAATTTTAATTTAAATCCAAAGTGTACATAGATGTTGAGGGCACAAAGGTTTTAAAAAAAAATGTGAAAGCTCATTGACCTTGGTGACGCGAGTCAAAAAGCTTCTCCTATGAAGAATGTAATGGTTATCATCAATGACGGCTTAAAAGATGAATTAGCTGCAATATGATTGAAACTTGCACCTCATGTGGCAGATGGCTAATTTTTGTAAAAAAAAAACAGTTGGAGCTAAATTATGATCATTGCTTTATTCCCATCATCAAACTTTACTAATGACTCGATTAAGTATTTTTACAAAAAATGATGTAAGCTGATTACTACGAGAATTATTGTATATGAGTTATTAAATAATAAATAAAAAGCAATTATAAAGACGATTACATGTCCAAAAGACGAATAATTAGAGATTCGAACCGACGTATGTACTTGATAATCTTTAAAAATTTCCTACATTTTTTTTATATTCCTAAATGTAAGTTATGAGTGGACGAGCTCACGGCCCTCTTTATATTAAGTGATTATCCGAACCCATAGATATCAACAACGTAAATGCGGCCACCCATCTTGAAACATTAGCTCTAAGTCTCCGTTTTTACAGTACAACGGCTGCCCCACCCTTCAAATCGAAACACTGGTGGTAGGACCTCATGTGAGTCCGCTCGGGTAGGTACCACTGCCCTGCCCATTTCTGCCGTGAAGCAGCAATGCGTTTCGGTTTGAAGGGCGGGCAGCCGTTGTAACTATAATGAGACCTTCGAACTGAGATCTCAAGGTGGGTGGCGCATTTACGTCGTAGATGTCTATGGGCTCCAGTAACCACTTAACACCAGGTTGGCTGTGAGATCGTCCACCCAACTAAGCAATAAATAAAAAATTGCCCACGACAGAAACAGGTATCAAATAAATGCTTACTTATTCGGTCAATACCATAATAATATGAACGAAACAAAATTTCAAGTCGTCGCGGCCTAAAGGATAAGACGTCCGGTGCATTTGTATGTAGCGATGCACCGGTGTTCGAATCCCGCAGGCGGGTACCAATTTTTCTAATGAAATACGTACTTAACAAAATATGTCCACGATTGACTTTCACGGTGAAGGAATAATATCGTGTTATAAATATTAAACCCGCAAAATTATAATTTTCATAATTACTGGTGGTAGAACCTCTTGTGAGTCCGTATTATACGATTAATGAGACGATAGTAAATTAAAATCCTGAATGTTATTTGTTAACTAATCCGTGATAAACATCGCCGGAAAGCCCATTTAACATTTAGGTCGAGTTCATTTGATAATTAAAGACGATTGCGTTCACTAAGCTATTCGAAAAACAGTTTCAAATATATGGCTTTTACTGGTGGTAGGGCCTCTTGTGAGTCCGCGCGGGTAGGTACCACCACCCTGCCTATTTCTGCCGTGAAGCAGTAATGCGTTTCGGTTTGAAGGGTAGGGTAGCCGTTGTAACTATACTTGAGACCTTAGAACTTATATCTCAAGGTGGGTGGCGCATTTACGTTGTAGATGTCTATGGGCTCCAGTAACCACTTACCACCAGGTGGGCTGTGAGCTCGTCCACCCATCTAAGCAATAAATAAAAAAAATAAAAAAATATGGCTTGGATAGGTACTTCATGTTTAAGGACTCCCTGTTTGGTCCTTAATGATTATCGGAATCATGTTTAAAAAAGTCGTGAACTTAATCCTTTATCAAGTCGTTTGTGATCACACCTGTATCATTATCATCATTATCATCACCCACAGTCGTCCACCGCTGGACATAGGCCTCTCCCAATCCACACCACACCACACCAAACCTCGGTTTTCTTCATCGACCTTTTGCCGGCTACTTTTATTTTTTATTTATTTTTTATTGCTTAGATAGGTAGACGAGCTCACAGCCCACCTGGTGTTAAGTGGTTAATGGAGCCTATAGATATCTACAACGTAAATGCGCCACCCATTTTAAGATATAAGATCTAAGGTCTCAAGTATAGTTACAACGGTTGCCCTACCCTTTAAACCGAAACGCATTACTGCTTCACGGCAGAAATAGGCAGGGTGGTGGCACCTACCCGTGCGGACTCACAAGAGGTCCTACCACCAGTAATTACGCAAATTATAATTTTGTGTTCGGAGGTCATCGCACTACCTAGCCATCACATCTTAAGTATACTTTATTGGTGACTAGTGACCCCACTCGGCTTCGTGTGATCGAATAAGGATATTATACTGAAAGTATTATACATTACAGTAATTATATAATATGTATGTACTCAGGTACATATGGCTTTAATATATTATTATAATGAATATAATGCGTTTTCCTTCTTTATCTTAATTAACATCCTATTAAACGCTAATGTGTACATTTCATTCTAACTGGAAGCAATATATTAAGCTTTGTGCTTCATTGAAAATAACGGACTTTCATACAACCCTTATCTTCTTCCTTGATTTTATCTCTATTACCTAATACCGTAGATCGAATGGTAAGCAGTCGAGGTTGCCCTAAGTACGTCATTACGGATCCTCCCGATCCATTAACGGTGCTTTTAGGTACCACAAGCACCGGTAACCGTCAAACCCGTCGCTTGCGACAAAGGGCTCGACGAGTGAATTAACTCATAGCCCACTTAGTTTCTCGTCGGATCTTCTCTGTGGGTCGCGTTTCCAATGCGGTGGTAGATTCTGCGAAGCACTGATATTGCTAGGGCCAGTGTTAGCAACAATCCCAGTTAGAACCCCACCAGGTCACCTACACGACAAGGAGAAGCTGAAATAGCCTCTCAAGGCTATCAGCATAGGTGGAAAAAAACTCTATAGGGGGGAAATTATGTAAATCCTCCCTTAGTAGATGCCTCCAAAATAGAAAGCACTACATATTATATTTGTAGCCCCAATGGCTTTGGTGTAAGTAGATATGTCTGAAAAGGTATCTTTGACAAATAGACCTTTGAGGTCATCGATGTTGCTCAAAATGATATAAATTAAATTAAAAAGTTTTTAACGCACTTCTTCCGTAGTAGAAATGTACTAACTTATTGTCAACAGGCTGATCAAGGAGACAATGGTTAGAACCTAATTGAAACGCCAAACATTATCTTTGGTACCATCGTGCTGTAGTGGGCGTTTATCTTTAAGAAGACTCAAATGTACCTACATAGTGCGAAAAACATTAAGTCGTAATATATATGTGCCTAATCCAGAAAACGAATTAAGGCATTAATATTGCTATTACTTTTAATTAGATTTCACCCGAACCTCCCACGAGGCGTCGTGACCTAAAGGATAAGACGTCCGGTGCATTCGTGTTGAGCGATACACCGGTGTTCGAATCTCGCAGGCGGGTACCAATTTTTGTAATGAAATATGTACTTAGCAAATGTTCACGATTGACTTCCACGGTGAAGTAATAACATCGTGTAATATAAATCAAACCCGCAAAATTATTATTTGCGTAAATACTGGTGGTCGGACCTCTTATGAATCCGCGCGGGTCCGTCCTGCTTATTTCTGCCGTGAAGCAGTAATGCGTTTCGGTTTGAAGGGTGGGGCAGCCGTTGTAACTATACTTGAGACCTTAGAGCTTATATCTAGAGGTGGGTGGCGCATTTACATCGTAGATGTCTATGGGCTCCAGTAACCACTTAACACCAGGTGGCTGTGAGCTCGTCCACCCACGTAAGCAATAAAAAAAAAGGCTCCCACGCCTAAGGGGCGTCTGGGATTCGGTGGCCAAAGATGGTAAAGGCCACGGCCGAAGTTGTTACAGGCCCACCCACTAAGTGACTCCCCTGACCTCTCGCCGGACGATGACCCCAGAACGTTTTTTCGGGTCACCATGATACGATTGCGATTTTCTATTGGTGGCACGTGTAAATATCCCAAAAGTGGGAACATTATGATAATATAATTTAAAAAAATCAGAGCATAGCCGATCAGAAATGTTATC